GAGTGTGGAGCAGAACAGGCAGATCAGGAGATCTGCCACGCCATGTGGATCACCCTCCTGGCTGGGAACTGAACTTGTGCTGCAGTGGCTGCAGACTGCTTCACAGTGCTGCACTTTACTCCCTTGTGCCACCACCAGGAAGGGCCCATGTTTTGTTTTTTAACTCCCTCTTGACTTAAAAAAGCATTGGGTATCAAGAAGGTACTTTTGTATGGGAAAGGGGAGTAGGGTATGTGTGCATGTGAACACATGTATTATGAACATGCCAGGGCCTTCCCTTTACTGTTGTAAGTTGATTGTACTTAAAAGTACTTGAAATGGAATTAGGCATTAAGGGGTAGGGTTATAAGATGGTGAAGGCCTTTGCTGACTTTTTTTTCTAATTAAATGTATTTTGTACATATTCTTGATTAGCAATGATGGGATTTTGTTTGTATGTACGATTTTGTATGTTTTGCCTAAACATCAAGAGAAATTTAACAGAAAAAGCTTCTCCCACTAATTGAATAGCACAAAATTTTTGTAATTTTGCTAATGGTGTGTCAGTATTTAAGGTCTCTTGGATTATTGTGGATCTCTTGTACAGATTGATAGGCAGATGCATTTAAAAGATACTTGCTAGTAAAATCTTTGAAATCATTTGGAAGGATAGAATTCCATGTGCTTTTACAGCTTTGTGCTTTCAGATGTTTGGAATTGTTAGGGAATTTTATTCTGTTTAGCTTAATATATGAGTAAGGAGAAAGATTTAAAAAACCTCATTAAAGTATAATAGTTGTCCCTATTGCCAAACTAAAAATTAAAAGACAGAATTAAACTTTGAGGGGACTATATAAGACACTTCTTAACAGAAAGCTTGTGGGAGAACAAATTGTAACATACCAAGGGGTATGTGTAATTTTTTTCTCTTTATGTTATAGTGGTTGGTACTTACCATGGTTCCCAGGACCAACCCCATCAAGTTACTGGTAACCATCAGCAGCCTCCCCAGCCGAACACTGGATTTCCACGTAGCAGTCAGCCCTATTATAACAGCCGTGGTGTGTCTCGTGGAGGTTCTCGTGGTGCTAGAGGCTTGATGAATGGATACAGGGGCCCTGCTAATGGATTTAGAGGTACAAAATAAGTTCATTACTGATTTGTACAATATATAGGAATTTATCATGGTTTTTATGTCTTTGTATTAATAACTTAAGTGCAGTTAAACATTTTTAGTATGTTTTGGGACAATTTAAGTTGACAAAATTGGGAGTGAGTTTTTTTAGTATTTGCCAAATGCATGTCTACTACTGCCCTTTAGGGTGTATGCTTTCTATGCACTACTTGACCTCACGGGGGTTTTGTTTTGTGTGAGTGTGCATATATGCTTGTATACATGGATGGGTAAAAGTTTCATCATCATGTAAGTTCACTATTACACACTGAAATTTATAATCAGTTTGGATCACTGTAGGCCATTAGAAATTAACTTGAATAACTGGCACAACTTAGAATTTTTTTCAATTCTTTCCTTGGTCAATAATAAGAAAATAAAAATTTCTTGTGATGATATAAACAATGTTTTTTGCGCCCAATTTTAGGAGGATATGATGGTTACCGCCCTTCATTTTCTAACACTCCAAACAGTGGTTACACACAGTCTCAATTCAGTGCTCCCCGGGACTACTCTGGCTATCAGCGGGTACGTAAATTGTTTTAAAATACAAACCTGACATAAAAAAAATGAAAGGGACTGATGTAGTTGTCCAGTGTTATTCAGTAAGTCGGTGGTTTGGGGCTAATTTTATGTCTTTGTTATGTAAAATAACTTACATTTTTTATTAGGTTCTCATTTAATATAGTCTATTAGTGATTTTTTAAAAAAGATTTATTTATGCATACAGACTGGTGTATAGGCCAGAAGTTATGGAGTGGTGAGAGGATTCACTAGAGACAGAGTGGGGAGGAACAGAACATGCCCACTGACAAAGTTCACTGCTGAGGGGAGCATTGGGTGGGTCAGGAGAGGTCTGCCATGCCATGTGGGTCACCTCCGGGGCTGGGGATCGAACTTGTGCTGAAGTGCCTTTAGCTTCTTAGTGCTAAAGCTGCGCCACCAGGGAGAGCCCCTCTTACTGATTTTTAAGAGCAGAGAAATACCTAGTTTTGTTCTTGATAAAAATACACAGAGTAACCTTTAGTTCTGATTTACTGGAATGTCAAAAATAATTCTATGTTCCGCAAGTGTTAGGAGTGTAAGAGTAGACATAGATGGATAAACATTTTTAAAAGTACTTTGTTTTCTCTTCAGTACTAACTAGCTTGTCTTTTAGGATGGATATCAGCAGAATTTCAAGCGAGGCTCTGGGCAGAGTGGACCACGGGGAGCCCCACGAGGTAATATTTTGTGGTGGTGATCCTAGCTCCTAAGTGGAGCTTCTGTTCTGGCCTTGGAAGAGCTGTTCATAGTCTGCATGTAGGTCACATGTTAGGAATACATTTACCATTTCCAAACTTGTTTCTAGGGATTAACTGAAATGCTCTGTTTCTAAAACGTACCTTGAACCAAATTTAATTTTTTGAATGACTTTTCCCTGTTACTATATAAACTGTCTTGAAAACTAGAACATTTCTCCTTCTCAGAAAGTGTTTTTCCAACTGCAAATTATTTTTCAGGTCCTAAAACCTGCTAAATGTTTTTAGGAAGTACTTACTGAAACATTTTTGTAAGACATTTTTGGAATGAGATTAAACATTTATATAAATTTATTATTCTTTCATTTTTGAAACATGCATATTATATTTTAGGACCAGAAACCCTTTAGTGGCCAGATAAGCCATAGTTACATTTAGGGAACCATTTAGAAGTGATACACAACTGATAGTTCAATGCCTTTGGAACACTACTAGTGATACATCACATTATTTGAGTTTTAAACAAAACCTCCAAAATGTTAAATTTATTGAATTATAAAATTACAAATATTAGGAGTTTTTTGACTACTTCCTACTTTGATAGGGAATCAGTCTATGTAATAATTAGAGGCAGCAACTCATGCTATAAACTTCTAAATGGTTCTCAAATTGAGGGAAGTTAAATTGACTAGGTTTCCTCTAGATATTGGCCATAACATGTATAAAATGTATATTAAGGAGGAATTACAAAGTACTTTGATTTCAATGCTAGTAGAAACTGGCCAGCAAAAAGGTGCATTTTTTAAAAAATAGCTCACTTGGGAATTACTGACTTAAGTGTCAAAGGATATTTGCATGTGAATGTGGGTTATGTTATTTCTCACTTTGTAGCATATTCTATGAAAGTTGAGTTGACTGGTAGCTAATAATCTGTTTTAACAGCATGTAAAAAGTTATTTTATCTGTTACGAGTCATTATACAATTTTGAATGTTATGTAGTTTCTTTATAACAGTTTAGGTAATAAGGTCTGTTTTTCATTCTGGTGCTTTTATTAATTTTGATAGTATGATGTTACTTACTACTGAAATGTAAGCTAGAGTGTACACTAGAATGTAAGCTCCATGAGAGCAGGTACCTTGTCTGTCTTCACTGCTGTATCTATTTCCAACGCCTGATGACAGTGCCTGACACATAGTAGGCACTCAATAAATATTTGTTGAACGAACGAATGAATGAATGAGTACTGGTGGGATACTCCATTAGCTCTACTCTTCTTTTAGCTAGAGAACATGAGCAAATTTGCGCATGCCAACTTCCAGGACAGGTGAAACTTGAACACTGAAGAATTGACCTCTTAAACCTAATTAAGTGGTTACAAGCTGCCCACATGCTTCTTGACTTCAGATGAAAATCTGCTTGAAGGCAAAACAAATAATATTTGAAAGAAAAACCAAATGCCATTTTTGTCTTCTAGGTCGTGGAGGGCCCCCAAGACCCAACAGAGGGATGCCGCAAATGAACACTCAGCAAGTGAATTAATCTGATTCACAGGATTATGTTTAAACGCCAAAAACACACTGGCCAGTGTACCATAATATGTTACCAGAAGAGTTATTATTTGTTCTCCCTTTCAGGAAACTTTATTGTAAAGGGACTGTTTTCATCCCATAAAGACAGGACTACAACTGTCAGCTTTATATTACCTGGATATGGAAGGAAACTATTTTTACTTTGCATGTTCTGTCCTAAGCGTCATCTTGAGCCTTGCACATGATACTCAGATTCCTCACCCTTGCTTAGGAGTAAAACATACTATACGTTATGGGGTGATAATATCTCCATAGTTAATTGAAGTGGCTTGGAATATGAAAGATTGACTTTCGATAGTGGATAAAAATCTACAAATCAGCCCTAGAGTTATTCAATGGTAAATGACAAAACTATTTCCCTTGAAAAGAAGATGGAAGGATTGGAGTGTGGTTGGCAGAACAACTGCAATTCACAGATTTTCCAGTTAAATTGGAGCACTGAACATTTAGACGCATACCAAATTATGCATGGGCCCGTATTCACACATACTAAAGGCTGGCTACCAGCTTGGACACAGCACTAGTCATCCTCTGGCCAAATGACTGTGGTTAAAAACACATGTAAATTGCTTTTTAACAGCTAATACTGTATAAGACAAAGCCAAAATGCAAAATTAGGCTTTGATTGGCACTTTTTGAAAAATATGCAACAAATAAGGGATGTAACCTGGATGGCCGCTTCTGTACTTAATGTGAAATATTTACATATCTTTTGAACACTTAACAGTTTCTTTGACAATGACTCATAAGGATTGGTACTATATATCATTCCTTATGATGTGCATTGTCTCTCACTAACCTTTGGATCTTGCTGTATTGTCATCTAAGTTGGTACAGGTACTGATGAAAATTGCTTAATGGATAATCATAACACTCTTGGTCACATGTTTTTCCCTGCAGCCTGAAGGTTTTTAAAAGAAAAAGATATCGAATGCCTGCTGCTACCACCCTTTTAAATTGCTATCTTTTGAAAAGCACCAGTATGTGTTTTAGATGGATTTCCCTATTTTAGGGAAATGACAGCCAGTAGTTTCAGTTCTTGATGGTATAAGCAGTACAAATAAAACATGTTTATAAAAGTTGTATTTTGAAACGCTGGTGTTCAACAGCTAGCAGCTTATATGGTTCACCCCATTGTTAGTGTTACAAACTTTATGGTTATCTTCAGCAGCTATTTCTATACTACCTGCCCTAACCCTAATGGAATTACCCTTTTCTCACAGAGGCTTTTATATTCAAAGTGGTGATTCTTTCCCTAAAATGTATAGGGACTATAACAAGTTGTATGGACAGTAATTTATGTCTGTTGGAATTTGTGCTAGCAGTTTGAGCACTAGTGCTGTGTGCCTATGAACTTAATGCTGCTTATGGTATCCCACTTTGACTTCATGAAGAATTAATCCCACTTACAAAGCAAAGGCTACTAATAGTTAATTTTCTGTGCAGAAATTTGTTTTCAGCCTTTAGCTAAGGAATTTTTGCAGTAGGTGCTCAGCTACTAAAGGAAAAAAAAAGCTGTTCTCAAACATTCATTACACAACTGGAGTTTTTGCTGGTTTTTGTAACCTAAAATGGGTAGGCTGTTGAACATTCCACATTCAAAAGTTTTGTAGGGTGGTGGGGGTCAAGGGGTGGGATCTTCAATGTTTATTTTAAAATAAAGTAAGTTGACTTCTCATGTGTGGTTGTGGTACATCATATTGGAAGGGTTATATGTTTACTTTTGCAAATAAGTATTTCTTATGCCAGCACCTCCCCTTGTGTGCTTTAAATGACTGCCTGGGATGTACCACAACCATATGTTAGCTGTATTTTAGGGGGATAGAGAAAATACTTGTGTTGGGTAACCCCTAGATGCTTACAATTCCTCTATATAAGACTAAATTTGCTATATCTGGAGAGAATGATTCTGTGACATTTAAAATCAAAAGTAAGTTTTTTATACAATGATCTATATGAATCAGTTCAGAGAAAAGGGGAGAAATGCTTTCTAGCTATCAAACTTCTATCCATTAGCACAGGTCTTTTGAATGTATAAAGTTAGTTTATTTTTATGTATGTTTTAAAAAGTGAATCGTCTTCAAAATACTATAATTTTGGTGTTTTTTTTTTTTTTTTGCATTCTGCCATCACAGTCTAAATGTAGAGCTTGTATGCCTCAATTCAGACTATTTTCTAAAGGAGTGCTTTGTTATGAGGCAGACAACTTTTTAAAAAGCCCCATTAAGATCTAAGTATTCTGTATAATATGTGAATACTTTTCCTACCTGCGGAAGACCTTTGGTTTGGTCAAATTTTTAGCATATTTTAGTTGAGTTGCAAGGAAATGAGTTTTATGTGTATCACTAGCCCCTTGGCACAGCAAGTCGCCACTTAGGCTTCTGTAACTGCACAGTTATCAGTCATCTCACAGGGATATTGCGTATTTAAAGCCCTGAGGTAGAATGCTACTGATTATCTTGGTTAAGGCAGTTTTATTTTCAGATTCTACTATCCTGGAAGAAGATGGAAGAGTTTTTCAAATCATTGTATGTTGATATTAAATATCCCTTAAGCATTCTTAATCAGTTAGCTTCTGTTCTTTTGTCTCCTATATATATATATATATATATATATATTTGCAACTCTGTTACAATGGAGACTTCCACTTTTAAGAGACAGAGGCAGTTTTATTTTCAGATTCTACTATCCTGGAAGAAGATGGAAGAGTTTTTCAAATCATTGTATGTTGATATTAAATATCCCTTAAGCATTCT